AAAAAAAAAGAGAAGGCCATCGAAAGTATATTTTACAGTTAGTCCAAAAATTTTGGGAAACGGGGCCAGCAGCTAACAAAAAACGTGAAACAGGTAATGCTGTAGTAAATGCAGCTACAGAGGTGACGATTTTAGGGTATGTTGTTCAAGAACCCACATTGAGTACAAGAGAGTTGGCGATAACATCTGGTATTAAGAGAAGTAGCATTCAGAAGATATTGAAAAAATACAAGTTTCATCGCTACAAAAATACATCTGGTACAAGAACTTAACGATTTTGATAGGCGATTATAATTTTGTGAAATTGTGACTGAACGGGCAATAAATGATTAGCAATTTCTTTTTAATCTAGGAAAAACTACTTTCAAAATAATATATCATTTGACCCCTCTTTCCATTGAAGATTTTAGGGGCGAGTTTCACCTCTGCTAGAGGATTTCCGTTCAGGGGGTGAAACTGGCAAACAAATGTTTCCCCCTTAAATCAAAAATTGACGGGTCCGAGCGTTTTTTCGTAAATGACCTGGGGTGCCCAAAATTGGCTATTTCGTTTTCAAACGCTGTATACGGAGTCTGGAAACGGCCAATTATCTCGTAAATTGCTAATCCTAATTGTGCAAAATTTGGGGTACACCTGTTTTGGGATACGGAGATTCCAAATTTGATATTTGCAATGTTGCCAGATTTCTCTTATATTATTAGTAACTTTGGTTTTTCAAATTCATCACTCTGTATATTCAGTCATTATTGGAATCTCCTATTCAATACGAGTTTAACGATATGTAACACTTATGATTTTATGTAGTCTGGAAGGTCTTAAATAAATAAAACAATCATGGAGAAATAGGGTAGACGCATTGTACCATCGATTAGGGTACTGTCAACTCACAAATGGAGCACATTTTGAACACTTGATAAAGTAACCATTATGTTAAAAATGTTATAATCTTTCAATTGTTACGTTTTAATATAGTTGAAAATAGTTTGTATTAAAAAATTTATTGAGACAATTAGACGTTGCCAGACTTATTTTATTTATTTAAGACCTTCCAGACTACATAAAATCATAAGTGTTACATATGATTGAACTCATATTGAATAATGACTGAATATACAGGGTGATGAATTTGAAAAACCAAAGTGACTAATAATTTAAGAAAAACGGCAAATCTGGCAACATTGGAAACATCAAATCTGGAATCATCGTATTCCAAAATAGATGTACCTCAAATTTTGTACAATTAGGACCAGCAATTTACGAGATAATTGGCCGTTTCCAGACTTTTGGGCCACTCTGTATATACAATACTCCATTATATGTGTATTAATAAATCATCAAAAATATCTTTCCAAATTCATGATAGTTAATTATTGTTTAAATTGTGTTTCTAATTATTTCATTGATACTCTGTCACCGCAACACCACTGAATACCAGTGGTGGCTGCACCGAGGGTTGCTAGATATCCCGATTTACAGGGGAGCCTCCAGCCTACCAACTGTTGATACTCCCGTCTGCCGCTTCAATCCTCAAAGCTCCAGCAATTCGACATTTGACGATACCTTTTTTTTTCCAAGAAAATGTTCATAATATTAACGCTTTAAAATGACTTCTATAGTCCTTTTAAAAAACTGGTGGTGACCCTAAGTGGGGTGTGGAAGGGAGAGGGATGATTCCCCATTTCCCGCAGAGAGGCCGGGCACCCAAAGCAATTTTTGAATTCCGGCGCCTATGGTTGGCAATATTTTTAGGATCTGCTAGCTTATGATTATTATATTACATAACAGTAGGAATGGAATTAGTTTGTCTTTTATTTTTTATAAATTGCCAAAACCTTTTAGAGTCCGATTTGATGCTATTTTCAATTTCATTGCTGCAGTTACGATATGCTATGTTAACGTCACGTTTTATATCATTTTCGATAATTTTAAACTCTTGGGTAATATCTTGATCATCAGTATTTTTTAATTTTTTAAATAACCTGTCTTTTCTCTTCAGTTTTTAACGATGCTACTATTAAATCACGGTGGATAATTACGATTGCTCACTTTATTTTTGGGAACGTGATAGATAATCTATTATTTTAAAAAATGTTGAGTAAAAAATGTCAAAGGCTGCATTCACGTCGTTGACCTCAGTGACACCACTCCAATCAGTTGCAGCTATACTTATATAAAGATCGGCTAAATTGGCTCTTTTATACTTATAATATATGGCTGAACTTTTCTTGGTTTTACGATATTTGGAAAGGCGATTGATATTTAGCAAAACAAGAAGTGGTGGGTGATGAATTAATTGTTTAACAAGTGAATCATGAGCCTTATAACGTCGTTGTCGCGATGAAACCTCCTATGTACATTTCATCAAAATTTTCAGTAGATATAAAAACGTAACAATTTTGTTCTGATGCCTTATACGTATTACGCACAAGGGAGGTCTAAAATCACAATATTTTAAAAGAAAATTACATGGGAGGTTTCGCTAAACTGTACAGAATGTTAGTTTCTATAAACTGGTATAAAAATCTAAAACTGTGATAAAATATCACATAGGAGGTTTCACCGCGGCAACGACGATAAACTGTGCACTGACAATTTGACAGGACTAAGTCTAACAATCTGTTATTATTATTTCTGATTTCGTTGAATTGATCAAATTCAAAAAAGTTACAAAAGTTTTTTAGCGAGTCGGTAATCTGATTAGAATTGTTAGTATCCGTCATTTCTGCATACTGTGTGATATTAAAATCGCCAATTAAAATAATGTTTTTGCCATAAAGATAATCTAACGTACTTAAAGCATCGAAAATCTCGTTTTATAGAGCAAGCAGTGTGTTAGGGGGAATACATGTTTCTTTTTAAAAATAACACTGCATACAAAGGACCCCGCACTGTTTACATTGATTTTGGATACTGACAGAATTTGTTCAAATTTTAGTATGTTATTTTTAAGGTTTTCTTATGGACCTCAAGTTTGCAGCTTTACAGGGTGAGCTGCTAGAAGGAGTCAAAAGTATGAAGTACAGAATTAATATTTTGGTATATATCTCTATTATTCTTAAATTATTCGTTTTTTTCATGAAAATTGTGACATGTATTACACATGTATATAGTTTGTTAATGCCTACTAGCACTTTGTGTAATAAAACATACAGAGCGCTCAAAAAATTAGAAGTATTAGTTACTTAAATATGGTGCAGTTTCATGTATTATCATAATTAAAACATTATTTCTGATCGCTTATTTGTTGTATTAAATATTAGATAACATTTATTAATTATACAGGGGTGACAGAAATACATAAATAATTCATAGTAATAATAATATAATTTTTTTACATTGATATTTAGACTTTCCACTAAATTATAAATCAATATAAAAAAACTGCATTTAAAACACTTTTATTACAATAACTTTAAACCAATCACACCATCAAAATCTGACCAATCTTTCAGCAGCATCTAAAATAGTTCTTAATAAAACATCTGAAGGGTGCTTTATATTATTTTCGTATCATGCAAATCCTAGGTACCACACTAGGAATATGAGCACACGTGCCTATAGTTCTTGCACCAGTCTTACATGTACAATTGTACAGTAATACCCAGTTATAGTATCCTCTTGAATTTCATTATACTCTATAAATAACATGTGCTTCACATTATTCGTAAATCTTAAATACATTCGACACCGCAATAATGTAGGTTCAAACTGTTCAAACTGAAAAACAAATTCATTGTTTTCGACCCTGCTTGATTTATACTTGATATAAGATAGGGCTACTGAAACTTGATATAATATTCCAACAGTTTTGATCCTTAGATAATAAATAATAAAGGCGTGGAAAATCAAAATTATTTTGGGAAGGCACTCCACATAGAAAGTCTTTTTACAAAATATAAAATTCCTATTATCAAAAAATTCCTAACAAATTTTTAAAATTGTTTCTAATAACATAGCTTTAAAAAAAAGAATGAAATATACAATTTAAAATAGAACATAGTCTGAAATTGCAAAGGTTACATTGCTGTTGTATCAACCCTATCATAATAATTTAGTTGCTGGTAATTATAACTATCGCCAACGTTTTAGCTTATAGAAATAAAAAAGTTATGTTACATGCCTAGATAATATTCCATAGCATGATAAAAGCATGTAGGTACAGGGATGTGGAAAACTAATCATTAAAAATTGACCAGAATTAAATATCATACCAGGAAGTATTTTAATAAAATACTACTCCAATAACTGTATAAGATTTTTTATATGGTTTTATTTTAACTAAACTAAACGTACTAAATCTACAAAAATAGAAAAAAGTGGTATACTGACATCGGTACTGTATATAAGAATTAGGAATTACTTTTTAATTAGAATATATGTCTTCTGAATCATTTATTCAAGTGAGGATTGATATTAATATTTTAAAATTAAAGAAGACGTCGAATGGTATAAAATGGTATCAATACATAAAAAATGTACCTTATTTCAGTAACTGATATTCCCAATTTTTTAAACACTCTGTATAATTTATTTTACAAAGTGCAAGTAAGCATTAACAAACTATATATAAGTGTAAGACAAACCATAAGTTTCATGGAAAAAACATGAATTGGTTAAGAGTGGTAAAGATATAATTCTGCACTCCATACTTTTGACACTTGCTAACAGCTCATCCTGTATAGTTGCAAACTTGAGGTCCATAAGAAAGTTGCCTTTAATGACCTGAAAAATAACATACTAAAATTTAAAGAAATTCTGTCAGTACCCAAAATCAATGTAAAAAGTGCGGGGTCCTTTCCCATAATTCGACCTTCGACAAGTATTTTTGTCTTTTTCTTTAATATTTTTACGCAACTATCTGCAAATATAACTCTCAGTCCCTTTGTTCTCCAGTTTCTTAACAGATAGTAGATTATATTCCAATTCATTGCATTGCAGCACATTCTTCATTTCGATTTTTAAACCGTTTTGATTTTGGACTGACTACTTTTCATTTATAGGCACATGTAGAACTGCAGCAAGCTATAAAAGCTATGGGGGAAGTATTTTCTGGAATAGCTGTAAGGGAACCACAAGAAAGAGCAAGCGAAGCATTTCGGTTATTTGGCGAACAACATCGTAATATTGAAAAATTGGGGATGGAGATGGTAAAAAAAGTAAAACCAGTAAGTAATTTCTTTTCGTCTAACAAATAAGATATGGCGTATCATGAAAGTGTATTGATGAAATGTAATATAGTATTAATTTTATTTTAGGTTTTATCGGATGTAGGAACATACCTCTACAAGGCCATACCAGATACAAGACTAACTGTAAAAAAATATGCTGATGCTAAGTTTGAATACCTAGCATATTGTTTAAAAGTGAAAGAAATGGACGATGAAGAATGCAGTTATGCAGCGTTACAGGAACCCCTTTATAGAGTTGAAACAGGAAACTATGAGTACAGGTAGGGTAAAAATGACTTATTTTCGTATAAAAAGAAGAATATTGAAAAAAAAAATTAGGTGGATTTGAGGTTAATGTCTTAAAAAACTGAAGAAATATTAATGAAGATATCTGTATCATTCTGCCTAAATTTATTATGGTATTTTAGATTGATTCTGCGTTGTCGCCAATTAGCACGAACTAGATTTGCTAAGTTAAGAGCCGATGTGTTGGTAAAAATGGAATTATTAGATAATAAACACGTTCAATCTCTTGGAGGTCATTTGGTAAAAGTAATTAAAGGATTATCAGAACTACATACTAAAACTTTGGAATTGTTTAATGGTCCTGCATTATTTCCTGTAGAAGTGGATTTGTCCAATAGCGCATTTCAATATAAATCTACCACCCCTTTGGTACAGGTAAGTGTTTTTTATTTCTTCTATTTTAGTAATTAATTATAAATAGTTTATAAAATATGTATTAAAGTTTAAAATACACAGATAATAAAATTGTAGTCGGACTCTAGTAACATTTTACAAATTATTTCTAAGATTTTTGTTAATTATTTTAAGGACAACAGTGAAGATGACAAAGATATAGATGAAGGTGAAGAAATAATCGAAATTGAAGATGATCTTATAGCGGATCTAACTAAATCAAATGCTACAGTTGATCGTTTGGAAAACACAGAAATGCTTCTGCCTGATTTACCTACTGATGATATACAAAATGAACCAAACTATGATCAAATGGATAACTGGGCCCTTTTGTCATCTCTATGTATAGATAATCCTCAATATAAACCTCTATTGTCAGATTTAGATTAAGTAGTTTGTTTTGAAATGGTTCTAACGAGTAAGAATTATTTATGTTTAAAACAAAATACTGTTTATTTTGTTTAAAAATTTTAATAAATATATTTATATCAATATTGCTATGTATATTTTTACTATATAATACCAGAAGATATTTTAATTTTGATCTGAAATAATAGTAAAATATTTGGAGAAAAGCAACAAGACTAATATTGGGCATTGCATTTAAAACATTTATTCATCTTTTTAATATAAAATGTATGCAATGGTATTCTAACAATACACACAAGCTAAAGTCTATTCAAATTTAATTTACGCCTGATGCAAACAGAAGCGGGTGGACGCTAAAATTGAGCAGGGCCGTATTTTACTTTTCAGTCTTGCAAAAATATAAAATAAAAGAGTGTAATTGTGAAATAATTTTTTTATTACGATAAAAACATATTTTGTAAACTAAAAATAAATGCCATACACGGTCTCCCAGACTTTAGTGACATTTCTGGATTAAAATAGGTGAGCGACATAAACTGCGTTAACCTGCAATACAAATTAATAAATGTATTTGACTTTAAAAGAGATGTTTGCATTATATTTAGTTCATTACATATGTCTACTGTGATACAGAGCATTAAAACAATCATATTATAAAATTAAATTATACAGGGTGTCCAAATAATTGCAAATTCTTTAATAGCTAATATACAGGGTGTTAAAAAAAAGTGTCACAAAATGAAATGGTGAATAGTATGACCCAAAATAAGCAGAAAAGTCTAAATAAATATATGACCGCAAATTAACGGTTTCGGAGATACGGACCATTTTGTGTTTATAACAATTTTTTATTATTATAAAAAAAACAATGATATTTATAAACAATCAATAACAACATAGAGTTAAATGAGATGTTCAAAGTGCCCTCCCTCCATTTCAATGCAGCTACGACATCTCCTCCGAAAGGACTGTCGGACTCTTTCCAAAACACCCTCATTGGCTAGGATTCGATGACATCCCTGCTCTATTCGTTGCTGCAGCTCTTCGACCAAAGGAACCGTCTAAATGTTCTCTTACGGCAACTGAAAAATGCGCCGGAGCACCATCGTGCTGGAACCACATTTGATTTCTTTGTATTAAAGGAATGTCATCTAAAAGATCACCCAATGTGTTCTGCAAAAAGTTTAAGTAGTCAGCTCCCGTTAATCGGTTAGGTAGTACAAGCGGACCTAGTAACCAGTCGCCATAAATACCCACCCAAATGTTTAATGAAAAACGAACTTGATGCCTGGATTCCACGATACTATGGAGATTTTCGTCGGCCTACATATGCAAATTATGGAAAAAAAAAAGAATTAGTGCAATAAAATTGGGATCCTCAGCATCATTTCTCAGAAACCATCGACAAAACTCCAAACGTGCTTGATAATCAGGTGCATTCAGAGCTTGCACTCGTTGAAGATGGTACGGGTAAAGCTGCTGCTCGTGGAAGATTCTCCAAACCAGAGGAGCCCCAATTCCTACCTCCGCTGATATTCTTCGCACACTAGTTTCTGGATTCTCTTTTACTCGTGCTAAAATTGCTTCTTCTGCCTCAGGGGTGGACACCGACCTTGGTCTCCCGGAATCATGTGACTGTTTCCCAAATTTACCTGTATCACGCAATCTTTGGTGCAATCTTCCAAACACACGAACTGAAGGGATGTGGCGATTAGGGAAAGCGTCGATATACTGACGTAGCGCTTCCCTCGCATTGCCATTTGCACGACCGTACATAAAATGCATGTCAGCTAATTCAATATTAGTGTAAACAGGCATAACGAAAATTTATAAAATTATTCACCCACAACAAAATAATAACTGCAAATAGTATCTATGAAAAAACATCGGTAGACTCCGATAAGAAAAGCAAGTTTTTGAGAATGAAAAAAGATAATCAAAAAATGATACAAAACACAAAACACTCCGTATCTCTGAAACCATTCATTTGCGGACATATGTTTATTAAGACTTTTCTGCATATTTTGGCCCATACTACCCCCCGTTTTATTTTGTGACACTTTTTTTTTAACACCCTGTATATCTACTAAAAGCATTAAAAAAACTTTAAATATAAGAGGTATTTGGTATTTGAATTTGGTATTTGATTTAAAATTGTGCATCTTAAAAAGGAACCTTTTGTATTTTTGACAACTTTTGTTCTTTAGGGTGCGTTAAGTGAGCCGTCGGACCGGTCGAAACTATCTAGCGAAAGAGAAAACCGACCAACATGACCAGTCATGACTAATCAGCTGATCGGTCAGAGTCAGTCAGAACGGTCGATAAATTGAGTGTGACTTGGTTAGTCAAAACTGTCTAGTGAATGGCCAATTGTCAATTCATGTTTTTATTTCATTTAAACATACAATAAATTAATAGTTAATAAACTAATGTTGCTGAAAACCAATTTAATACATAAAACGGGAAAAACCAAATATTATGTAATAATAATATCCCGTAATAGGGATTAGTCACCAGTTATTCTAAAATAGGCGGAAAATCAACACAAGAATCTTTCCTATTCAAGATGCTGATGCTGGAACTTACACTTTCAAAAGAATTATGTTTATTAGTGAAATTTCATCATCAGTTTGAAAAGCCAACTGACAAATAGCCATAATAAGTTTATTTCTCTTTCTGCTGTTCATATAATTTTTTTAAATGCCTTCTAATTGAGTTTACCGCATTTTTTAGAACTGTCGATGTGTCGAGGAACTCACAAAACACAGGAGACAGGAGGGACTGCCTGGTTTTCTAATTTTCGGTTAGCTAATCATGAATTTTACAAATTAGGACTAGACAGTTTCGACTACATCGCCTAGCGAGCAGTCTGACCATACCAGTCAAGTTGACCGTTGACTTAACGCAGCCTTATTGTTCTTGTTCTACTAGTATTTAGATTAGACACCTTGTACCCTGTATTATAGCAATCTTCCTTACTTGACAGCACTATTCTGAATCGAATAAATTAGTTAGACTTAAAGGGCTATCTTCATTAATCAAAATTACAAGTGGTTCTACCTGAACGTCTATAATATCCAATTTCCACATTTTTACTTCAACTTTTTGGCGAACATGGTCGATACACTTTTTCTATTTTTCTGGAGAAATTAATAATATTACTTCTTCAAAAAGAATTTTAATGTCTCCAGATTTAAATGTTGAGTTTTTATCTGCTACGTATTGTTTAACGTCAACCTAGATTAATTCAATAGGGTTAAGTTCACAATGATACGGAGACAGGTGAAGTATTATGTTGTTTTGCTGCTTAGCCATTTCATCTATTACATATCTATCATAATGTTTACGTTGCTTACCAAGTTTTAGAAGTTGGATCTTAAGCATTTGGTAGTCGAATTAAATTTTTTTCCCTTATAGCCATTTTTAAATATCACCTTTTTTAGACGTCGTTGTAGGTATTTTTTCCAGCTTTCTCGAATAATAATGCAGTTATCTTCTAATTTTGGTAAGGTGTTTGAAAACCACTCTTTGAACAATTCTCCACACATTTCTTCATGGTAGTCACCGGATTTTTTAACTCAAATATATAAAGTGCATTAGAGACAAAGCCTTCTTCACTTCCAATATGGCATGTAATGAGCTGTTTTTACGCACATACCTGATGGGTTTTTAATACCAGTTAAAAGTTCATCCAAAAAGGCTTGTCTGAATGATAAAACCGTAATATCGAAACATGCTTTTGATTTGGTGTGGCCTGCGTTAATCCAAGTCTCATCAAGATAATATATTTCTTGCTTTTCTTCTCTGTACCGTTTTATTTTTTGTGGCGTATGACGAAACAATTTAAATTTTGTCTAAAAGCAAACTATTTTTTCCTCGAGTTAAATTTAAAACTAAGGGTTTTGAAAAGCTTGTAAAATGTAGCTCGCTTAAAAGTAGACAAATATGGATCATCGTTGACTTCTTATAAAACCTTATCGATTGTTGGAAGTTAATTTATAAAGAAGAATTGATGTACTTTGCGCCTTATTGCATTTTTATCAAAATCATCCACAGAGCCACTAATTTGTTTATAACGTAGCTTTCTTTTTGGTTCAGAAAATTTATGAATCTGCCTATACTCCTTCATAACATTAAAAACGGTTTTAGCGCACATCCCTGTTTTATCAGCAACTCTCCTTTCAACATCATGTACCAACATATCAGGGTTCTATAAAATTTAGTGCTTATAAATATTAAGAACCATTTCTTTAGTACGGATGACCAAATGTCCCTTTTTCGGTCCCTTTTTCGGTCGCTTTTTAGATGGACTTCATCTGCTGTATCCAGTGTCCTTTGTGGAGGACATAGTGTCACGCAGCAGTTACAAAATATAGTCAATTAAATGTCCATAATATAGAGTAGAAAATGTTCAAACTAACAACAACCACAAAAACAAAAAAAATAAATAACACAATATATGTATATCTAAACTATAATATAATAAATTATAATCAATCAAACATACAAAATGTGCAAACTAACCAACACGGTGAATGCTACCAAAACGCCGTTTATAATTATCCAAATTGAACTGAATTCGACTCTGACAAAAAATATTTGCGCGTCGTCTAAATGACTAACGACCGATTAACCAATAGAAGCACAAAAAAATGCCACGTGAGCTGTTGCTGGATGGGAGAGATTGTTTTGACACGGCGTAAATGAAATATGAATAGACTTTAGATGTTTTGGCAATTAGTGTTGCCTACCTATTAGGAACAATTGCAGTTCTAAAGGGATACCTGCGCACAATTTCTAAATGTTAAAGGCAGTAGCGACTTGAATTCGAACGTGAAAACAATAGATTACGGTCTTACAATTAATATTCTTTCGATATTTCTTTTGCCGATTTCGGGTGTTAATAACAACCACATTCCTCTCTATTCCTTCTATTTTCCCTCCATAGGTGGTGAAACCCTAATATTTGAGAACGAACCAGCATCTACCGGTAAGTTTTTTATCATTCATTT